TTCACCAAGTTTCTTAGGTTCTTCTACCTTAAGTTTTTCTATGGTGCTCTTAAGTTCTACATTCTCTATTTTTAAAGACTCACAAGAGAAACAAGTAGAACTTTGGTCAAAGGAAGAAGCTTCATTCATTGCCTTAATTTTATTTTTGAGGTCAAAATTATCATTTTCCAAAAATTTATTTTCCTCTTCCAAAGCATGAATTTTTATCTTAGCCTCTTTGGCAATTTTTGAAGTTTTCTTCAATTCACCAAATAATTCATGAAAGGCTTCTTGTAATTCTTCAAATGAAAAAGAGTTAGAAGTACTTACCTCTTCATTTTGTTCATGAACCATAAGACATAAGGTGGCAGTTTCGTCACCGGAACTTTCCGAATCCCATGCCATGTATGCTCGTTCCTTCTTCTTCTTTTCCTTGCGGTATGGGCAATATGGCTTTATGTAGCCAAGTTCTCCACAACCAAAGCACGTTGGAATGTGTTCCCCCTTTCTTTTACAATCTCGGGATCTAAGTTCTTCCTTCAAAAACTCTTGGAACTTCTCGAGCAAGTTATAAGAAGGATTATCGTCATCGCTATCGGAGTCACTTACCTCTACCCTTTTTGAGGATGAGGCTTTGAGAGCGAGACCGGGACTCTTGTGAAGAGAAGGTTTAAGAACAGTAGATTCATAAGTTTTAAGATTACCTCAAAGAGCATTGATGGTGACATTGGTGTTACCAATTGACTCATATATAACGCCATTCTGATGTTAAGCTCCGAAGGATTTTTCGAACAAGATCTTTATTCGAGTATGTTTTACCAAGGACATGGAGATCATTGATGATCTTTAAAAATCGGTCGAACATTTGATCAACGCTTTCAATTTCCTTCATTTAAACAACTCATATTCATGGGTTAGAAAATCAATTTTAGCTTCACGGACTTGAGGTGTACCTTCGTATGTCACTTCAAGCTTATCCCACATTTCTTTTTCGGTGGAGCAAGAAGAAATTTTCCAGTAGTCATCCGGGTTAATTGCACAAAAAATCACGTGTTTAGCTTTTTCAAAAGCTTCTACCTTCTTGATGTCTTCAGCATCATATTCTTCCTCCTTCTTTAGGATGGTGGTTTCACCAACCTTTTTCATTGGCGTCGTCTCACCATTTTTTATGATTAACCACAGTTGGAAGTTGATTGACCGAATGTAAATCCTCATTCATTCCTTCCAATAGGTGTAGTTTGTTCCATCGAAGAGTGGGGGTCTAACGGTGGAGTGTGCTTCACTTAATCCTGCATACGACATTCTCAACAAAAAACTATAGATCGTTCTCTCAACCGGTTAAGGCTTGTAGAGAGTTAGGCTCTGATACCAATTGTTAGAATAAGTGACCAACGCTAGAGTGCCAAAATAGGCTCCAACGGACCAATACATTAAAGGGGTGAATGGCTTGATTTATGGAATTGAATAAATTTTGGATATGCAGGATATTGGCTTCCCATCGATGTTTAGAACTTACCCATCGCTGGTAAGCCAATTTTCCTTCAGTTTTGAAGCCAACAGTAACCTACCCATCGATGGGTAAACACTTCCCATCGCTGGGTGGGATGTTGACTTTTAAACAAGGAAAGAATCAGCCTTAAATGACTCACAACGGTCATGCCTAACCAGCCATGGGTATGCCCTCCCATCGCTGGGTTCCCATCGATGGGTAAAGGTTCCCATCACTGGGTAAGGGCATTCTGCCTTGTGTTGATGTTGGACCAAGGCTTTAACAGCGATAGGTAGAACTTCCCATCGCTGTTTGGCATGGTTCTGGAAATCGGTTTTGCTGAGAGACTGCTTACCCATCTATGGGAAGATCTTCCCATCGCTGGGTGGCATGATTCTGGAATCCCGGGATCACTTACCCATGCATGGGTGAAATCTACCATCGCTGGGTAGATGGCTAGTCCAGAACCATGGCTTAGCCGACCGGCACTAAAACCCGACCGAAAAATGCAAAGTTCTCCAAAGTAAAAACCAAGTGTTTAAAACACTTTTTTGATGTATTTGGATAAGAAATCAAGTGAGACACTTTAAAGACCACGTCATTTGAGTGAAAACCACGACTAGCTAAGTTTACGCCGTTTTGAGTGACTTTTGTCAAACGGCCAAAAGCGAAAGATGGTTTTCAAAGTGTTTTTTTGGAGAACCGATTAAACATGCCAAAGAGTGAAAACCAATCATAAAATGTTGAAAACCGCTTGGTTGGTCCGGACGCCAGAAACCAATGCCAATAACCGAAAGCCGAACGCCGGTTTCTGAAAGTCGAGCGCTGGATGTCTTGGTTTTTGGTTTGGGCGAACACCAAGTGTTTTTAATGATTTACACATGTTTGAAAAACATTTTTATGATGTGTGAAATGCAATGCAAAGAATTTTATCCTAAAGAGCCAAGGTGTAAAGGTTGGGTCGGTCTTGATCACAATTATGACCGACTCAACGACACTAAGACTACGGTCTTCGTTCTTGATCTTCTTTTGGCCCTTGTTCTCTTGCTTTCTTCTTATATCTATTTCTTGCCTTGTATATTCAACAACTTGTCTCGTTCATGGCGGTTTGGCATTATCAAAACCTGTCATAAAAACAAACACGGCTTTAGTACGAAAACACGATAAACCCGTGTTTCAACAGCCTTCTGCAGAGTCTTATCCCTAACTCGAGCTCCTCCAGCTGTCTCTTCATTGAGCTGGTCCAGGCCCAAGTTCTTGGGCTAGCCCAGAACCGCTGCACGCCCGCTCTAGTGACCTAGTGCCATTCGGACGCGAGGTTTGGGCCACCCGTTGGGTATCGACCCATCAGGTATGAAACTTGAAATTGGTTCTTTCTTTGTTCCAATCTAAAGTCCCGATAAATACACATGAGAAAAGCATTGAAGTCTACATTACATCTTTCCCACTCGATCACTTGTGTCTTACTTTGCTTGTTGCGTTTAATTTAAATTTTGCATTTGCCGTTTTCAACCCATTCACCACCACAGTAAATGAAGAGAGACGTAAGAGGGGCTATCTACACGCGAAAATGGAATTAAATATGTCAACATCTTAATAATGTATCGATCTATATACGTCAACACAATCATAATTAGAAATAATTTTAAAATTTATGCAAATCAAATATTTATTAGTCGATACAAACATAATTAAACCTTAAAAAATATTTCAACATTATTACGACTAATTTTGTCAACACTCTTTGACGTAAAAATAGTCGAAAAAGTTGTCAACCTATTTGGCTCAACATGTCATCTACCAAAATATCTTGACATAATTAAGAATGTCGACATAAGTACATCGAAACTTGAAAACATCCAATCTGCATATGAAATTTTATCGTACAAAAAAAAAGATATATGTCGACTTAATGATGATGCCATGTATTGCTAAGAGCGACCAAATATGTCAACTAATTAAATAGTGTTGACTAAAATATTCAGACGACCACATTTAAGATTGCAATTCACATTTAGGCTTTTTCACTATTCACATTTCGACTTTAATTATGTCAACCCTTTGTGCATAGGTTATGATTATATTGACATGTGGTGATCTCCGACGGCTATGCTTAATTATACAACCCTAACTGTAACTATTAGATGGAAATGTTGTAAGGATGACAAAATATCTTTTTACTTAAAATTATTTTTGAGGGATATAAATTAAAAAGTATATTTATTTTTGGAGTTAGTTGAAAAATCATCTAACGGTTCAAAAGTAAATTTATTGAGTCAGTTACAAAAAGATGTGTCAAACATTTTTAAAATGATCATTTTGACACTAGAAAATATTTTTGGAAAGTAAAAATATTTTACTCAAATATTTCTTCAACATCGTTTGACACACAATATTTTTGGGACTCAATTTCTACACCCCAAATACACAAACCATTCCAATTATTCAAAAATTATTTTTTGAATAATGGAAGATGTGATTGGGAGCCTTGGTTCAGGGATCTTGTTGGAAACAACAAGATATGGACACACTTGACTAATAATCTCGCCATTGTTTGATTCTTGCTGTCACTACATTATTCACAGTAAAAATCGATTTATCCTTTTGTAAAAATCAATTTTCTGTTCTTGCGGAGATAGGGTTTTTCGCCCAGTATTTTAATCAGTTTTTATCACCTTTGATAAAATTAGTTTCTTCTAAAAATCGATTAATCGTCTATTGGATTAATCGATTAACACCTCTTTGCGTAGAAGGAATTTTACTCAACAACATCTAATCGATTTTCTCACCTTTGTAAAAATTGATTTTTAGTCCGTTGCATCTCATTCTTAGCCTTATCTTTTGTCCCAACGGACATATTCATTTTTCACCTATATAATCCTTTTTCCACCTTCATTCCAATTACAATACAAGCACTCCAATATCCTCATTGATTGCCTTTGATTCTTGCTCCATTCTTGATAATCAAAATACTATTTTGAGAGCTAGAAAAATATTTTTCTTGAGTGCAAAGATATTTTCATTCATAGAGCTTACACTTTAAACACTACTTGCTCATTTGTGAGATTCATTTCTTGTGTTGTAAAAACTCATCTTGTTTGAGTTGTTGCTGCTAAGACTTGTGTGACTCAAATCTTGTTGTAAGAAGTTGAGGCTTGTGTGATTCAAGCTCTTGAGTTGTATCGGTTTTTCAATTACCCGTTGAAGCTTGAAGATTAGTAGGACTTTTGAGAGAGTCTCTCGGAGGACAAGGTGGTGAACCAGTATAAATCTCGGTGTTCTTTTTTCCCTTACTCTTTAAATTTATTCATGCAATTTTTTATTTCACACACACGAAAAATGCATATTCATGATAACAACTCTATTCACCCCCTCTAGAGTTGCAGGTTTGTCTAACATGGCGAACAAACGACGAACAATGGTGAACGTTGAGAGCCGACATAGTAAGCTCTACGCGCACTAGGTATGTAAGCAACGTTTGGATTAGAAAACGATGAAAAATGGCGCGCTGCGGAACGAGAATAAAGAATATTTTTGCTGGGTATAAACACTCTGCTATCGCAAGGTCTCATAACGTAACCTAGGGAGAAAGACCAAAGTAGGACTAAAATATTGAAAATATACCAAAATATGACTTCCATGTTTTTATTTTCGAAATAGGACTAAAATGCATTTACATTACCGAACATGATCATGTACATTACCAAAAAGTATAGTAATGTGCACATGTACAATGCTACGTTACAACTACATTACTACAGTGTGAATTCTTATTTCAGGAAAAGAAATATAAAAGTCCTATTTTGGTACTTTTCTTTATATTTTAATACTATTTAGAGTGATTTCTACGTAACCTAGCAATAATATCTTAAGGAAGAAGGATAAGAGAGTAATTTCATTTTAAAGAATAACTAATATGAAGCAGGTAATTTAAGGTAGAATTAATAGTTGAGCAATGCTAGGGGTACACCAAAGATGTACCCCATTTGTCCCCCACCCCTTTCTCCACCATTCAATTTTATTTTATTTTTATTTATTTAATTTTTTTTAGTTTCTTGCCTTTTTTATGGTTGTGGAGGGGGTGGGGCACAAATGGGGTACACCGGTGTACTCATATCATTTTTCTTAATAGTTTGTCCGTCTTGTCATCATTTAATATAATATTTGAGACTCCTTTTGCTAGAAAGTCGCCAAGTGTCAAGCTTATATGCAGTGGGCTATATTAAGGTGAGATGACAAACCTTTTATTGGTTGCTTATGTGGCAAATTTTATTAATGATGAATTGACCTTTCTTTTAATTTTAAAATAGAAATTTAATATGATTTCAAATTTTGGAAAAATATTACGTAAAAAGATTTAGGACAAATAAAGAATTCATTACTTTGTGACATTAGTTGAGTATTAATATTTTTATTTTTAAAAAACAATTCATTTATTTATTTGTTATGCTGTGATAAAATTAATTATGCTATAAAATCAAATTTGTGAAAGATAAATATAGTATTATCTAAAATAAAATTATTAAAGGAAAACAATTATATAAAATATAATTATATGATACAAGTAAAACTTATTATGATGTAGCTAAAAATTAGTGAAAATATAAATTTGGTATAATTGATCCTTTATTTATAAAATTGATATTTTAATCTCTTAGAAGCTGAGATTTGATGTTGTTTACGAGACATTTCTGACATGTAAGATATATTATAGAAAGTAAAAAATTAATACTATGGTATGAAGTCATTCGGTACAATTAATTATAGAAGAGAATAGAGATATTCGTTTTTATAATAAATTATTTCCTAATTATGCATATTTTTCTATTCAATTATTACAAAATTTCTAAAGGTGTGTTTGGTGAGCAAAAAAAAAAGTTTTGATATCTCTAAATATCCTAATCCTTTTCTGCTGTTTGGTGAAGCCAAAAGGGTTATCAAATTTAATATCTACAGATTTATAAATTTTTAAAATGGATGGTCTCAGCATCTCTCGAATTTGGAAGATATCAATATGGGGGTTTGATATCTCTTTCAACTGTTGATCATTCTTTGCCACTCGCTACAATTGTCACTGCCAACCACTTCCGTTGCCAGTCACCCTTGCTTATCACTAATTAAATCTTGAATTTAAATCTCTCCAAATAAAATCATTTCAGATTACAAAATCCATATCATTTCTCTGAGTTTTCATAACCCACATCTTATAATATCTCCAAAATTCACCAAATTGGACCTAAGTAATTAATAACATATTTCTTTACTTCTAAATACATTTCATATTTTTATGATATATTTAGATCGAAACAGTCAGTTTGATTGTATTTATTAAAATATTCATGTAAGTTAATAAACAAAAAAACTTATTTTAAAATTACAATAAAACTTTATAAAACATGAGAAGATTAGAAAATAAATTGTGGTTTCATGGTTTCATATAATTACTAAAAAAATTATGGTTAATAGTTCTTAAATGATTAATGATTTAATTTACATACATTATATTTTATTATCATTTATTATGATATTTTTAAGGGTTAATGTATTTTTAGTCTCTTAAAAATAGGTGAGTTTTGTTTTTGGTCCGTGAAATATAATATATGTTTAAGTCATCTTTAAAAAAAATTATTTTGATAATGATCTTTATACGTAATAAAGACTTTTAAGTTGTTGACATAAAATATTTATTTTGTATTCAATAGCTTAGTTTAGATTTGCAATTACTTTGTCTTTTATCAAATTACATTTCCAATTCTCAAATTTTGATTATATAATACGAGGGAGAATAATCATTATATTTTTAATGTATTGTAAAATTTATATCTCTTATCATATGATTGTTAATTTATATTTTTGTATTATTAATAATACAAGAAAAAAATGTCAATTTTTAATCAGTGCAAATGGACAAGGAGAGGAAGACTCACATTAATGCATCATAGAAATTAAATCATATATTTCTGTTAATGTAAATTAATTTGTTGGAGAAGAATCATGATTTTTTTAGTATTAAAATTACAGGATCGAAAATCTAAGTTTGTTAACTAAATGTGGGGAAGAAGAATAATAAAATCACCAATATTTGTTTTCATATATTTTTTGATTTAAGGGGTGAGAAGAATTATATATTTGTAATAATTTAATAAACCTAGATTATATATATATATATATATATATATATATATATATATATATATATGGTATATAACATAAAAAAATCAAGTTATTTAAATATTTGATATTGTATAATAAAAAACAATTTCGTTCGACTAGTTCATGACACTGGTTAAAATAAAATACTAGTAACTCATAAATACTGGTCCTCTCCCCCTCACGCTATCTCGATTTCCCTCCCCATCCTTCTCTGGTTTTACACTTTTACATTTCGCTTTTTTGTTCATCTTCTGGCTCTGTTATTCAGGACTGTTCTTCGAATTCCTCAGCTTTGTTGTGTCGCAGTTCGATTTGGGATCTAAATCAGACTGAAAAGCTGAACATGAGATCTGGTTTGGTATATGGATTATGAACTAATCTAGAGCAGCGGTGAGTTTCTCTTCTCCCTTTCTTTTCTTCATTATTGTGTAATTTATTTTTCTTTTACGGGAAAACCGGTGAAATAGACTCCATTATCCCAAAATGGTTCATGTCGATGCATTTTTCTAGGTTTAGGTGTTTGTTGTTTACTACAGCTTTTCTTTCTATATTGCGTTTGACTTTGGGAATTGCCTTTTTCACGGACAGGGATTTTGATTCTTATGCATTCTGCCAGTTGTTCGTTTACTTTGTAATGATATTCTCTGCTGTTGCCATGAATTTTTGGGGGAGGGCTGGATTATGCTTGTCCTTAAGTTTAGGGTTTTGAATAATGCTTCGTATGATTAATACATAAATTTCTGCAGATGTTTACACTTTTAATTTTCTATGCAAAGAACATTTCATTTGAGTTGTGGTGATCGAATAAATCTAGGTTTAATGTCTAATAAATTTACTTCTGGGTGCGTGGAACTATTCTAACATGGGTTTTTTATGGAAAGAAAAGAAATTGAGTATGCTAATGTGCTGTGAAGCCTGTGATATTTATTTTGTGGGTAGCTCAAATGTTTTCTTATAAATGTCTATGCTGGCTTCTTCAATAATACTATGTTCTGTACTTTATACTCCCTCCGTCCCTAAATATTTGTCACACTTATATTCCCGAGGTAAAATATCAAGTTTTTTCAATTCATTTTATTTACATATTAGTATAGAAATAAAAAATAAAATTTACATATCAAAAAACTACATGAAAAGTTCTTCGAAATAAGAGGTGTCAAGAATATTTTATTTTATCAAATAACCAATGAAAACATAGAAATAAACAAAAGTTCCTGCGACTACCGAAAAAGCAAACGTTGCAAATAATTTGGGACGGAGGGAGTACTTTGCCTAGCGGATTATGGGGATTGGGGGCCATGTATAAAAGTCTAGGTGTTTCATACTCCCTCCGTCCCAAATTATTTGTCACATTTGTATTCCCGAGGCAAAATATCAAGTTTTTTCAATTCATTTTATTTATATATTGATAAAGAAATAAAAAATAAAATATACATATAAAAAAACTACATGAAAAGTTCTTCAAAATAAGAGGTGTCAAGAATATTTTATTTTATCAAATAATCAATGAAAATGTTGAAATAAACAAAAGTTTCCGACACTGCTGAAAAAGCAAATGTTGTGAATATTTAGGGACGGAGGGAGTATATTTTTCTTGAACACACATTATATTGTTTTCCCTGGCACAGTGCGTCATAAATGTGTGAATCTTCTCTAATGTTGTAAGTGCAGATACATATGATGATCTGCCTCAATCACAATATGATAGAGCTCCCACAAGAAGCATTGTTTCTCTAAATGGATGGTCAAATCTAACTTCATCTATATACCAAAGCATGTATAACAATATGGAAGCACAAATCCATACCCTTGAACAAGAAGCATATGGTGCAGTGCTACGAGCTTTTAAAGCGCAGTCAGATGCCCTAACATGGGTATGTGTCTTTCCAATCATATTGCTCCAAACGTTTTAGTAGTTAAATTGTCTTATTCTATTCAATTACTCAGGAGAAGGAAGGTTTAATAACAGAACTCAGGAAGGAGCTGAGAGTATCAGACGATGAACACAGGGATCTACTGGCAAAAGTCAATGCGGATGACCTTATACAGAAGATTAGGGAGTGGAGAAAGGTTCGTGGAAACCAACATGTTGTCGAACAACTTCCCACTAATACACTTTCAGGATCCCGAAAAAGGCAGAAAACCTCTCAACCAATGCATCTACCTTTTGGTGTTCAGCCAACTCGCCCATTAACTCAAGTAGAAGAATTGGTGCCACCAGCTGTACCTGGAGGCCTGAATCATAAACTTGTATGTTGTTAGCGTGGTTGTGCATTCTTAATAAGCTTTCATGGCTGTGTAGTCAGCCGTATGGTTGGCAGCATGGTTTTAAAAGGTGAAAAAGGAGAACCGCCTCTAGGCGGTGAGGCGAGAGTGTTAAGCATCAGAGGTGTAAGCCTCAGTATTCCTATGTGAGGTGACGCCTTAACCTGGCAAGGCGGTCGAGGCGTGAGGTGAAAGTGAGGCGTAAGCCTTACTGCTAATGAGAATTTCACAATTCTCTTTTTTGGGTGTTTTAATACTTCGTAATTAAATTAGTATTACTTTTTGAAAATCCAAGAATTGAAGCCTTTATATTTATGCATCATGATTATCTTATTGCCTTCAAACAAAATTTCCATCTTAAAACGTTTATCATGAATCATGATTATCTTATTGCAAATCTATTTTGCTTCCTTTCTGTTTTCAATGAAAACCATGTATGATTTTCACTTTTTTGACATAATTATGGATTATACATTTTGTTTTACCTTGGAGTGCTTATTTTAGCTTTATTTTTTTCAAACTGGACTGAGGCTTATGCCCCATCCCGCCTTGAGGCTCATTTTCGCCTTTCAAAACCATGGTTGGCAGATATGTATTACGATATTTGCATAATATTAAGATCTCACCAGATGAAATACAATAATCATCATGCCAAAAAGCTCAGCAAAATCAGTGGTGTATCAGGTTGCTGGTCGTGATTCTTCTAACACTACAAGATCCCGAGACTTATTTTTTGGGAGAAGAATTATGACTAGATGGCCAGAAGACACCAATTTCTATGAGGCTGTCATACGCGACTACAACCCCGTAGATGTAAGTCTTAATTATCATAACCCCAATTGATTTGAAGTAAATTTCTGAATGCAGTATGCAACATATTTGAAAAATATTTTTACAAGGTAATACTACCAAGTCCCTGGAAAGTTTCATTGTATATTAAGTATCTTGTGTGCAGTTTTCCTCTTCTTTGTGGAGGTGAAAATAGGTTCTAAGGAGTTAATTATGGTAATACACCAAGTAAAACTTGGAAATGAGCTGATTTTAAACTATTAAAATTTATTCATTGATCCAACTAGTTGGAATTTAGTTGTTGATGGTGCTTTTGGGGCATTATGTAGTTGATGATCTTCCATAAGTTGTACTCCGTATCTAATATAAGTAATAATAATTGGTAACCATCTTTAGTTGTGAGGGTTAACAACATGTTCCCATTTTGCATATACTGCGGTTTGTCTTACCAACTTTATCCCTTTCCCTATGTATTTAAATGGCTTGTCAGTCTGTGGGTTTGTTGTCATCTCTAAAGTTGGCTTCGCTCTTTTGCCTTATATAGATTCTAGTAACGCACAAAAGTTCAGAACCATATTTTTTTGTCACCGTATTTAATTCCTTATTTTTAGGGACGCCATGCTTTGGTCTATGATTTCAATACTGCAAATGAAACATGGGAATGGGTTGATCTTAAAGAGGTACTCTTTGACTGTCTAGTTTATCTGCCTTCATACATCATCACCTGTTCACCTGCATGATATTTTGATCTTAGTATTTTGTTTCTTGTGATGGTTATTCCCCATGTCAACTTAAGTGAATTCATTCTTTGACTCTTAGGAGCTGATTTGATTTTAAACATGTGCGAAGAATCAGTATTGCTGTATGGGTGGTTCTTGTGTGTTTGTACATACTTTTCTGATCTAGCATGCAATTCCCTAGTATTCATTATTTTTCCTATTTAGAAATCAAATTATATATTTGATTAAATCTCTAACTTCCCTTTCTAAAAGTCTTTTTCATGCAATAAAGGTATTATCATTCCTATTGTGATTCTTTGCCACTATTGACTCCACTTTTGAGAGAGTAAGATAATATAGTATTTCTACATTTACAATATCCGCAGAGATACTTCATTTATCTACATGGTTTGCATTGCACCAATTGATCTAACAATCTATATAAGTGTTGTTTGATATCACATCTACAAAAGTTCATGGATACTTTGGCTGTATTTCACTG